ACAAACCCAACATTACACTTAATGGTGAAAAACTAAAAACCTTCCCTCTAAGATCAGGAACAAGGCAAGGCTGTCCACTATCACTACTGTTATTCAGTATAACATCGGAGGTCCTAGCGAGTGCAATTGGGCAAGAGAAAGATACAAAAGGCATCCAAATAGGAAATGAAGAAGTCGAATTGTCACTATTTGCAGATGACATGATTTTCGATATAGAGAACCCTAAAGACTCCACAAGAACACTGATAGAAACAAGCAAATACAGTAAAGTTTCTGGATACAAAATCAACATTCAAAAATCCATAATGCTCCTATACTCTAATAGTGAAAAAGAAGTAGAAAAAGAAAAAAAGAAGTCAGAAAAAGAAGTAGAAAGAATAATTCATTTTGCAATTGTACCAAAAAGAATAAAATACCTAGGAATAAATTTAATGAAATATGTGAAGGACTTATGTTCTTGGATTGGAAGAATCAACATAGTTAAAATGACCATAAAACCTAAAGCGTTACACAGATTTAATGCAATCCCCATCAAAATCTCATCAGCATTTTTTAAAGAAATAGAACAAAAAATCATCAGATTTGTATGGAAGCACAAAAGACCCCAAACTGCCAAAGCCATCCTGAGAAAAAAGAATGAGGCTGGAGGCATCACTCTGCCTGACTTCAAATTATACTACAAAGTGACAGTAATTCAAACAGCATGGTTTTGACAGCAAAACAGACACACGGACCAGTGGAACAGAATCTAGAGTCCAGAAGTAAATCCATGTTTATATAGGCAAATAATTTTTGACAAAAAAGCCAAAAACATACAGTGGAGAAAGGAAAGACTCTTCAATAAATATTGCTGAGAATACTGGAAGGCCACTTGCAAAAGAATGAAAGTAGACTGTTGTCTATCACCACACACCAAAATTCACTCAAAATGGATTAAAGACCTGAATATAAGACTTGAAACAATAAACTGCATAGAAGAAAACAGGAATTAAATTCAACAACATTGGACTTAAAGAGAATTTTATGAATTTGACCTCAAAACAAGGGAAATAAAAGCAAAAATAAATGAATGGGACTACATCAAACTATAAAGCTTCTGCTCAGCAAAAGAAACCATCAACGAGAGAAAGAGACAACCATCTCAATGGGAAAATATATTTGCAAGCGACGCCTCCGATAAAGGCGTAATATCCAAAATATACAAAGAACTCGTACAATTCAATAACAGCAACAACAAAAATGATCTCATAAAAAAATGGGCAGAGGACCTGAACAGACTCTTCTCCCTAGAGGACATACAAACGGCCAACAAATATTTGAAACGATGTTCACTATCACTAGCTATTAGGGAAATGCAAATCAAAACCATGATGAGATACCATCTCACACCTGTTGGAATAGCTATAATCAACAGGACAAGTAATAACAAATGTTGGAGAGGATACAGAGAAAAGA